CAATAACCTCTGGTCCCCACCGATTGGACGCTTTCGACTCGGCCGTTACAGTATTCCTGCATAAAAGCGGTTTTTCTTGCATGCCTTGAGAGTAATATTGCTTAAATGAAGGACAGTTGGCCAAATTATTGCTTCATTGAATGGCCGGAAAATGATCGGAATGGCAATATCCTAAAAGCGGTTATATTCCTCTCCGTGATGCGGGGTGGGCCAAGATAGGGTTACACAATGGTGCGTACTGTTCGGTTTTTTCAAACTTCCAACATGGTTTTTGTCTTAACTTTCTTTGCGAATGCTTTACACTGTTTGCCAATGAGCACAATATCTTCAAAAAATAAAAGGAATAAATAATTAATTGAATATTAAACTTGAATAAATAGTGAGGCCACAGTTAGCTTCTTTTGGCCAAACATACAGACCAAATTTGAAAAGACGTAACTTTCATAAAATGACTGCAAAACCGAAGCTCTTATACATTTTTTCTATAGAGTATAAAATAGAATTGATTTTATAAAAACGTTTAAAATCAACAGGCGAGTACGCTAAGTACGTTAGTGGTTAATTTGCCATGGGTGGGCTTCATGCAACTGAATGGAAATACGCCCAATTGAGAGTAGTTACCTTAGTGCGGAAAATTAACCTTAAGGTAAGTTCTCTGCTAAAGCGCTCCGTGGCTCTTCGCACTTATTCTGCATCACCTGTTCACTACTTATCATTTTTTTATTGCATCGTGGTCCGTTTCCACGAAGGGTTTAGGGTGACATTAGGCTGACGGCAGGGCATGTAACTATTGTGTTTTCTGAATATAACAGGTTTGTGTGCTGTGATACGTTTGCTCACCCGCAAGAAAGAAATACTATTATGGGGAACAAGGTCGTACTCAATCTATTCTGTTGGAATGAGTATTGAAAATCATTTTTAAATATATGTCGTTCACGGCTCTTGTCCGTGGTTAAGACCCCTGTGTTAGCCTAGAGTATAACTTGTGACTGCTACTTTTCCCGCATTTTTGACATAAGAGCCTCCCGAGTTTTTCCTGGTTGTGGTTGCTACGTACGTCGTTAAAGGATTCGCTAATTTCACAGCGGGTTTTTTCAAATCCGTGTCGCGTGTTGCAGTCGGTATTTGTATTTCTAATTCCTTGTGACTGCGGACTGTCGCAGTGATTTCAGTCGGGTTGAGTGCAAGACAAAAAGAGAAAGCATAACAATTCAAAAGTTGACAGCTGCCCATTACAGTTGTCGTGATGCGCGACAAAAAATATCTTAACGTTATCTGTAGCTTAAATAGCCCATTCCTTCGGTTTTTGTCGACAGCTCCTAAAATTGCAGATTCCTCAAACAAGTGGCGTTATCATGGAAGTGCTGGCTGTACTAAAACAGCTAGAGGGAGGCGCACGATAGAGTACTTCCGTATT